GGATGTCGCAATAACTGTTACATTTGCAAAAGTGCTTAAGAGCCATACCATTCCACTGGATGACTCATTCCTTATTACAATGAACACAGCCTATGTTGTTTATTCTGAAACTCCTACTTGACTGCATTTTCTATCTCAGGAGTGTAGATCTATGTCAGGCAATCACCTCTGAGAGTGCATGCTCTGGGAAGAAGCTCCCCATTTACATTGCTTTACTAGTTTGATGAGTTGAAAGGAATAAACTACTGTTGCCATGTTCAGTGTAATAAATGTCACATGAATGCAAATATTCCTTTAAGCGTCTTTAAGCCAACAAAATAGAGGCATAAGCTATAACATTTTGTAGCTACACAGGCGAAAAACGGCTTTTATAGCAAACGCCTGAACTAAACCAATAAGTCTAAAGTTGGTGGCGATAACTCTAGAGAACCTTACATACTGATAGATATTCTACACTGAGAGGCTAAACTGATCCATCTGTTAAAACTAAACAACCAAAGAGAGACATAGGGCCCTATCTTACACCCGGCGCAAAGTTCAACGCAACTGTCTCTGCTAGCTTCAGACCTACGCAGTTGTCATTTTCTCATCCAGCTCCCACATTGTTTAAATTGCAAATACACTTGTGCCCATCTGAGTGCCCTTGGGTGTTTTGGTCTTAAAATGAGGTGTGGTCAGGCGCATTGTTGGCGCATAGCTATCTTGAGGCAGTGGAAAGCGATTGCGTGATTGACCAACAAAAACCTGGTTACAGTTATTTTAAGAGCACTTTGTCAAGATAGTGATATGCGGCTACATAGGCAGGAGCACAACACGCATACACTCACAAGTGTGCTAAAAATGAGCTTCAGATATTTGGATAAGTCAGGTGTAACATTACAATACAGTCCACAAAAGTTCGAAGCGTTCTTTGTGGCATATTGTGTGTCTATGGTCTCTTAGACATAAATGAGATTCTGCAGAGAAGCGTTCTTACTAGCTGGTAAATCCATCGTAGTGTTTCCCATTCAACACCTATACTAAATTTGTTCAGTTTCATAATGAACCGAAGTTATTCACACTTATCATATAACATAAAAAATGTCTAAAGTTGTGATTTGAGTGGCTGCCTCTTTGTACAGCTGTATGCAGCATATTAATTTGCTACCAAGGGCTACCAAGGTGGAAGCCCACCTGGCTTTTAAGGGAATAGGAGATGGCACTCTGATTAGTTTATTAAATATTACGCTAATACACGCACACCCAAGAGACTTAGTTAAAAACCTTTTGAATAATGCACCTAGCTCAGCAACCGTTTTTAATACCGTTAAAATAGAATAAGTGATATGGACATGGTCTAAATGCACTTTGGACTGTTAAAATAGTGCTCATAATCTTAATTTCTATGCTTTTTCTTAAGATCCTGCAATGGCCTTTTATTTAACAAAGCGTTGCCTAAATTCTCAGTGGTTCAGCTTTACTAATTAAACCAAAAAATATAATGTTAACATACTACTTTCAAATGGCACATTGGCAAGACAATGTATTAGCGGGGTAAATTACCTAAAGAGACAAACAGAATTTTACCATTTGCTGCCATATTTGTCAGTTTTTTTTTTTGTTTTTTTTTATCTGCAGGTACAACTACAGAGCAGTATTGATAAGCATTTCCACAATGACCTGTTTTCCCCAATTCATGCTCAGAAGAGTGTTCTTTTTGCTGGTGGTGTCTTGTTCTACCTCTGATTATTTGGCTGTCCGACCTGTTTAACAACTTTACTTTTGTTAAGTCGGATTTGGTTGACTTTATATCAGTTGTTAGTGTTGTGGCATTTTATTCCACTCTCTTGGTCATTTCTCACAGAGTAAATCAATGAGACAGCGACATTTTAATTTGTCTATACAGAGGATTTTACACAGAGGGCGAGCTATTAGGAGTTTTTGTTACACAGGAAAAACAGTTGCCAACAGGGGCAACCAAACCAAACGAAATAGTTGATAGGAATCCAAATCCGGTTGCCCGAGGAAATTGGGCAACTGTTAATGTGGAGCTCTGTCTTTCAATACCTAAATTTGGCTAAGTACAAACTCTTCTGAGTCATGCTATTCATTCATAAATGCCAACATTTGTAAAACAACAAATGCACCATCATGGTAGGATCATCAATATCAGTTGGAACATGTATCATCATTCATTTTAGAGGACAAACATTCTTTGGCCATTATACAAAACATGAAAAAGCTGACCACTGTGTTTGAAAGAAGCCGAGACTGCTTTTCCCTTTAAGCTTTCACTTTGCTGAACAGTTGGCCAATAGAAACACTCAAGTTTAAGGCTAGGAAGTGGGAAAGCATGCAGAATTAAATCTCTGGTGAGGTTTCCTTACTGTGATCATTAGCCGTTTCTTAAACTGTTGAACCCGATAAAGCATGTGTCCCTGATAGAGTTTAGTTTTATTATTGCATTGATTTTTGTCATAATATCAACTTTAAATAAGTCATCAGCTAGAAACTTCAAACCTGGCATGTCTCTGCATGCATAGCTAGACTTCAAAATGGGCCTTCCCACATGACAGCTACCTTCCTCAGAGATAACACCAAACTTGCTAAATCACCTACAATCTATGCCACATGGAGACCGGTGGTATAACCGCACACCTGCACAGCAGCGTGCAAGCTCAATCGTGTTTCAAATTGTTTCCATATCAAATAAATCTTCGCTATGAACGAAGGCCCACACTGTCGCATTTCCATTTAGCTAACCAGCTAGCGGACTGACTGCAAAGTATAACCACACCACCTGAATAAAGCTGTTAGCTTGCTAATAGCTAAATGACCAGCAGGGAATTGTTATATCCTAGCTCACAACTGCCTAGAAACGAAAAATCATCACATGCAAAACATTCCACCAAATCGTCACTGTGCTTCCTAAATACCCAGAGCAAAACTAATTAGCAGGTATTTCCACTTATGAAAATATGCGCTGAGGGAAGGCCTGTCGCTTAACTGAGCAGGTGGGCCATGCATACACGCAGCAGTTTTCAGTGTCACTTTTCTCTGGGAAATACCACATGACACTTGTCGGATTTGACACCAAAGCGTCGCTGACTTTGGATTAAGCACGCTTTCATGTCATTCAGCTACACGTAGCTGTCATGTCCTAAAGACTGCAGCAGATAGCACCGCTGGCTCATTTGAATGGAGAGACCTAGGGCCTGTTAGCTACCATGCTGGTGGTGATTCAATGAGGCTTAGGGGGGCATTAGCAAGCACTTTTTAGTACTTACTTTCAATGACACGACAAGCCAGATGTTTCAAATAACAACACGCACCTGTCCGAATTGCCACTATAGAATGGCACTATTTTAGGTATGAATGTTGTGCAAGTGCGGGACGGTCGTGAGTGTATAAATAACGTTACAAGGCGTGCAGCAGGAGTTGTTTGCAGGCTAACGTTAGCCAGCTAGCTTAGCTACCTGGTTGCTGTGAGAAGCCATGCTCCCGGTGAGGTTCTCTCTCCTCAAGATGAAAACTCTCCCGGGAAGGTGTTGTAGGTTTGTAATGACAGTTACAAAAGGTGTCCTACTTCGACATCATTGTCATTTTCCCAACTTTGTCCTGCCAGTCGTAAGTTTCGATCCATGTAATGCATCAGCACTTCATGCTGCTCGCCTTGCCGTCACCGCCATTTCTGTCTAGCATCTTCCTCGCTTGCTAGCCGAGCCAGCGCGCGGTCGGTTGTAGTGGCAGCGTGAGCTCAAGGAATAACCACAAACACTTCCGGTGATGGTTAGCTCTCTGACTTCACAATAAAAGTCTTCAGCCAAAGACACCACCACCACCACCTCCCCCCTTGTTGTTTAATGTGGGCCAATGATAGAGGAAGTATATAGATTATATTATATACACATACTGTTGGGCAGTTTAATTTATAACAAAATACCATATTTCATAAGAACTGTCACTGACTGTGGCCTCTCACCTCCGGTATGTGGAGTGGAGTAACACATAAGTTATTGTAACAGAAACATAAATATTGTAAATGAAAGTTTGACATAGGTTTTTTCCTAAAGACTAGGTCGACCTCAAGATCAGTAAAAAGAAACACCTTCCTTTTTCAAGAAGCACTTTCCTCTTTCAACTGAACAATCATAATAGTTACAATTGCTCTTAATTGGATAGTAAACCCAGAGCATTTGTGGCCGCTGAAGTCCTGAGGCCCTGGGTCAATTGCCTGCTATGGTTGCAGATCCACACTTGCAGTGAAGGTACTCAAGAGACAGAAGAAACATCTGCCATATTTAGTGATAATTTATGTTCATTGATGGGTTTGTGAATTAAGCTAAACTGTAGAGGAAGTGGAGGGACCTACTTCCTCTTAAGGGATTGCAGCTGCAGTAATTGAGCTCTTTGCTTGAAATGGAAAATCCATAGTCTTCTTCAGTCATGATTTGTATCAGTGAGCTGGATGAACATAGACAAGTATCTGTCCCATGTCATTACAGCATCTGAGAGCATGAGCTAACTGACACATAGTGACATTTATTTTGAAATGATCTACGCCTCGTCGGAAATGCAAAAATGACTTTTGCCGCGAGCTTCATGATTTGAACGTGACCGCGTGCACTGTGTGCGTTCACGTCCGGGTTGAGGCATGAATCGCAAATTTTTGTTTTTGGAAGTTGGGGACAACTGAAATCAACAATTTTTACACACATTTGGTTTTTTATTGATTTCCAATAATGCTGCCGGAGTCTTGTAATATTAGTATATAAACTGACTAGTCACTTAAATGTTGTTTTCTGGTCATAAAATAAAGTGCTTACAATGCTGCAATAAACACATACACTATTTATACATCCAACAAACAGGGTTACTATAGTTTGGAAAAAGAAGCTGTAAAACTTGGAAATTAGTCACTGTATTTTCCCCCTAAATCACCTCTAAACTAGTGGGCGTGGCACAGCACAGGTGAGCGACAGGAGAAGGAAATCCGACACAGGAAGTTGGTGGGTTGTTATTTTCTCGGCACAAACGAAAAAGAGACCGAATTACGGACAGAATTCAAAAGTAGGAAGTTTTGACATTGTATCTTTGTTTTATTCACGAGCCTAAAACAATTTCACTTTTACGTAGAGACATCGAAACGCACGGATGAATTTAGTAGCAGGGAAGACAAGGGCGTTGCTTTGAATTGTGAGCCTTTTAAAAAAATATCCTTTGGCCTCCCGCGTCGAAATAAAATAATAATCATGTTAAAGTCAGATTTAATTAGCAGACGTTATGTTCTTCTTATATATAATCAAATTCATAATTAATACGCTCCACTTCTGTCTGTGGGCCCCAAAATGACCTTTTTTTTCTTTTCGAGTCACTATGAATGAAGAAACCTCAATTTTACGTCCTTTACCTCACCCGGTCATTAATCTCCATTAAATAGTTCATGCTTTTTTACTATCCACAGTGGCAGTAACAGAGACACAAGCCAACTATCCACTTAGTTTATTAGAGTCTGTAATAGGATTCATGCCCATAATCTTCTTTTGTTGGCAGAAGATGTCTGACAGGGGAAGACACCACCAGAGGAGTGATGTGTATACAGACTACAAGAGCAGGGACGGTTCACACGAGGGAGACCACTCTTCATATGATAGCAGAGGCCGCAACCAAAAGCCAAGAGACTTGGATGAGAGAGGCTCTGCTGGTGACAGGCGAGCCAAACAATACAGACAGAGGGACATGACAACTGCCTCTTCCAGGGAGACACCTGCTTACAAAGATCACAACCATGACCATGAAGGACCCTCAAGACTGTAAGGGAGCTTGTACTTTCAATAAGCAAGGCCCTGCGCTCACTGTGATGTCATTCCATACAAACTAAAGACAACCTGAATCAGGATTATGCAACATATTTATTTGTATGTTTATGTAAAATTACATGTTTTTTTGAGAAAGAATCAATTCTATCCCACTGAAAAAAAACTTTGTCTTTTGAGGTCCAGAGAGACATCACTGTATCACTCCGAACGGGAGTATTATGAGCAGCAACACAGACAAGCGCTTTACAATCTCAGATACATCTTAACCAGTAGAGGCAAGTATATTTATTTTAGGGTCCTTCTGGGAAATGTTAGTTGCGTTCAAAGCACATGCTTGTCAGTGTATGTTAAGAATTTGTCAGGAGGGTCCCCAAATATATTTAACAATGTAAAATTTAATATAATTTTCTGTTTTTACTTTTCACTCACTAAATGTGCTTTAGTTAACTTACGTGCTGTTTGCTTTACATTCTCAATCTGTGGGGAACACTGCTTTTGATTGTTACCTTCACAGAGCACATACTCAAAATTTGCCTTGTACATGATAATAAGCCATAATATTATATATTGTACTACTATGGGATTTTTAAAGGGCTTTTCTCAATTAACTGATTAATGATTTTTAATATAACATGTCAGAAAACAGTGAAAAAAACCCATCAGATATTTCTAGGGTCTTGGGTTACATCAAATGTCTTGTTTTGTGGGGGTCCATTACCCAAAGATATTCAATTTATTATCATTTCTGACAAAGAAAAGCAGAAAATCCACTCATCAGAGAAACTGCGGTCAGTAATTATTTGGCATTCTTGCTCAGAATTTTTTTTTTTTCTCGTCAATCAATAATATCATAAATTGGCTCATCGTGTCAGGGCTAGTCTCACTGCTTCATGTCGTTATACATTCATGTCAGTACTGTGTTTATCCTGTATCTCCCAGGTCTGTGCCAGCTTATGGAGCTGTTTGTGAATCTGCTTATCATCATCTGCGCTGGAGTGCCATACAGCAACAATGGGGGTTACCGTGATCTGGCCAGCCTCGGCGGACTCTACTATTATCACTTTGGTGGAGCTAATGCTTTCACTGGAGCTGATGTAGACAGGGTGAAGGAGCTGGACCAGCTGTTCCATCAGCTCAAGCGACCTCCGTACATCTTCACCATGGCCTGCGGTGGGGTTTTAATGATATACGCCTGTGCCATGCTTACTCTGGGGATTTTCAGAGTCCCTTACCGCTGGCCCCCTGTGCTGCTGGGGGAGGCTCTGCTGAATTTCCTGATCGGCCTGGGCTACATCCCTGCACTTGCCTTCTACTTCATTAAGGTGCAAGAAACCTACAATAATCCAATCTGTGAAGAGAGAGAACAAATGTACAAGAGCAAAGGGCACAAGGGTTTTGACTGCCAGTTCCACGGTGCAGATATCGCAGGAGGTCTCTTTGGGGTGCTGGGGGTGTTTGTTTTCATCTTTGGTGCAGTGTTAGCTGTCAGAGCTTTCAGGTCAGTGCAGGAGCTAAAGAAGCAAAGAACAAACGAGGACAGTCATTTTTAAGATGCCTTTTCTCTTCAACATATGGCAAAAGTGAGATTTAGGAGAAGTCTCTGCCACCAGAAAACATGGATAGTTTTTTATAATTTTTTATTAGGTGTAACTGTTTATTAACTTTTGTTGAATGTGATTGGTGAATCAGCTTTTTTATACACTTTTTATGATTACACTTATGATTGTTTACATTTGATTTTGGAGAATACTTTTTTATTATTACCTCTTTTGCAGTTTATATACCTGTGTATGGTGTCTGTTACATTTTGTATAATGTATAGTTATATTAAACTACTCTAATGGCAAATCAGTGATTTTTCACTAGTCATTTTTCATTACATTTGTACAGAAAAAATACTCTGAAAATATTTGACAAGAAAGGACCGAGATAAACTCCTTTCATTTGTTCAAGAAGAGTTGGTTGTGTATTTATCAGCCTTTGCTGCTTCCTTTAAGAATGATGCTACCGAGGTACACTTCCGTAGGTCTTGATCTCTTAGTTAAAATAATTTGTGTCCTACACATGAATTATTGTGCAATCCATAAATCTCAATTCAGTCTGATGATCATTAATCCTGGCAGTTTAGTCTTGATACAAACTATTGCTGTTATAGACTGAACTGACTCTGGAATTAAATGTCTCCAGCACTTGATGTGGTGACAGTGTCAAATGTCTTTCCTAGGCAGGGAAGCAAAACATCCTCTGCTTTGTACTTTGTCTTATGATTTGGAAGTTAGTATTTTGTCTTTTATGCATAAAATACCCACAGTATTTCAGTAGTATAAATTACATATCCATTGAGCAACAATATCTTCCCATTTTTTTAGATGTCAGACTTTGTTCCTGCCTAAAGGTCTTCCATCACTCACAAGAAAAACATGGAAACCAGGAGTCTTGTCGCATTTAACCTTATTTTTCTTTGGCATTTGTCAACTATTATAATAGACATGTCATTCTAAACTTCACCAACAGATGGCAGATCTACTGTGTTGAGGAATTTAATCATGACTTCAACACATGGATCTTGAATGTACATATTTCCAAAGCATCAAGTGTTCTCTGTTCATTACTGTTTTCTGAAGCATTTAGGCTAACTGAATGAGAGAAAACATAAATAGAGACCAAGGCAAATATATAAATAACCTCCTATTACATCATAATTAAGGACTTTAAAATTAATGACAAAATAAACTGTCAGCATCATATCTTGTACTGACCAAAAAGCAGTAATTTTGATTATATTTATTGGCATGAAATAATAATAAAAATTGTGAGCAAAATGGACACTGGACAAAAAAAATCACAGTAAAAAGTTTTATTGCTACTTGGCTTAAAGTTAATTTAGAAACAGCGTGTCTGCTCAAAACTAATGATAGCAGCATTTCAAATAAAATAACGACTACCTTCCACTCTCAAAGTTCAGGGGAATACAGTTCTGTCTGACAAACAGCAAAAGTGCTCATTGTTAGTCCTGTTCCTAAATCATAAATCTTGTAATTAGTAAACATAAAACTAAATTTTAGCAGTAATCTGCATGCTAGAATACAAACCCAAAAATATTAGATATGCTCCAGTTTGTACAAATAAATCACATTTTGTATGCACTCTTATGTTTTTAAGTTGACTTATATTTAGGGCATGCTTTCAACATTAAATACAGTTATAATTAGTACCTTCAAATAAAGTACCGTAATGAGAGACAGTATTCTGTAGAATCCCAGTCACTTTAAATTCTGTAGTGGAGAGGGAAATATAGATTTGCATGGAACGATGAAGTACAAAAATAAACATCAGCTTCTTGGCATTAAGAAAAAAATATTCAAAGCATTTCTAGAAAATAATGTACAGAAAGGAACTGTGAGATTAAACAATGGCTACTTTGGTCACATGTTAAACAACTGGAGCATCTTCGATCAGTTTCATTCACCATATTCACACAGAATTACAGTCAATCCATTATTCACACAAGCATGCATACACTTACTGTACGTGTGCACTTAAGCTTCATTTTACACACACACACAAACAGACATTTTGCAACATACTGTAGTTGTACAAGGAGCTTGTTAAGTTGTGCAGAGAGGAAATGATCCTTAACAGTTAATAAATGATCAGCAGTTAAAAAAAACATTGACACTGTAGCCTACTCAAATGCACATACCCTTTTTTTGGTGCAGGAAGGGGTTTATGAGCATTATAATACTGGACCCCCTCCACTAAAGAATTAAAGGGAATATTTAATTCAATGCACTGTACCCTGTGCTTCCTCTTCCTGTATCTACCCACACAGTTGGCATATGTACATGCACACTGATTAGTCTAGTAATGGATCATTATTCAAATACGCTTCATGTTGGAAGGACAGGACAGTAGGTGAATATATGACATCAACCAGAAGACAGACAGAATTCATTTACAATGAGTGTACAACTGTTTAAAAAACTGACCCAGGTGGCTCTGAAGAGCACTAAACGTAGCACTGCAATACAGTCGGAGCCTGACTTGGCAAAACTGGGACCAGAATAATCAAATTACATTGCAAATGAGCGAAAGGAAGAGACGTACTCACACAATAAAAGAGCAATGAAACTTACACACGCAGTTCCAAGTACATACACCGCACATACATACATCAGTCAATATTCATTTTCAGATATTGAGAAAAAGTATTCTTGTAGTTTTAGGTGATGGAAAAAGAAGCTCTGATATAAATGTATGTATGTGTATATATCTATATATATATATATAGATATATACATATACAATACAATTGACACTTTGCATATTTGTATGAGGGAATTCCCAAGATCTGTTGCAAACACTACTACCAACTAAAAGTTAAAGAAAGTTCCTTTTCTCCTCTTCAAACTTCTAACTTCTAAAGAGCTCAGTTTCCCTGTTTACTTTTACTTGTTTCTGATATGTACTGATACTATTCACAATCATTTGTCTTACAGCTTCTCTAGCTCCTCCTGTGGCAGGTGTGCCTGCAGTGGCCATCAGAGTCTCACTGCCATCAGTCCAGATGCTGGACAACATGTGTGGGTTACAGGCTACAGTCAGAACCACAGAGTCCCCAGTGTTTGGCATCTCAGACCCTGCACCGTCTGATCAATAAAGTGACTAGAAATAAATTATTAGCCTTATCAGTTTCCCATTGGCAATTTTAGAAAGTTAAGAATCCAAAACTTTAGTTGAAATCAGTATTTGAATTTTGAATAAGCATAATAAAGACAATATCAGTGGTTTGTTGTAAACTTATTATCTTAGAGTTCTGCTTCCCTGACTTGTCATTATTATGGAGGGATTTCAAAAACCTTGGTATGCCAGATGGTTAGTGTAGGTATCAATTAGCACAATGCTTCAACCAAATACTGATACTGGATATAAATACTGTAAAACATATCTGTATGTCCTCAGGGGGCCCCAATGATTTACATTATTATTGCGTAACAGTAATGTTGGCAAATAGTGTTAGAGTTGTTAAATATGTATATTATGCTGTTTGGTGCTAAGATAGGTAAATATGCTCTAAAAAATTCAGATGTAGCTGAGAGCAAACAAAAACTAATAAACTAAGAAATGTTTAATATAATAAAAAACACACCAAAAAGTGAATGTTGTAAATGAATTATTGTCACTTTACATCATCATCATTTCCACTGGCTATGTATTCTTAGACAAGAGGTGATATGTTGGGCTGAGGGAAGCCTCAGTAATCCCAGCACACTGTGTTGATCAATATCTCATATAGTAAACTCAAATATACATAACTTTGAAAATTACTTTTTTCTATGTACAAAGTGCTTTTAACAGTGTTTGTTTGTTTCAAGAGACAAAACCTGCAAATAACAACAAAAGATTCAGACTCACACATCAATTAAGGCTTCATCAGCGACTTATCACTCATTCCCACGGAGCAAATTAAGGATAGAGGGGTTGCTTTAACTAACAACACCCCCTGAGCTAAAGACCTCAGTCACAAACAGAACATGAGTGGGATGAAACAAATGGCTCCTCCTTTCAAAAATACTGAGTAGTGTTATTTTAAGGCTAAAAGGGAACACTGAAAGGTCCAGCTATGCAAATGCTATGGAATGCCAGAACTGCACCACTATCAACTTGGAGTGTTAACTAAAAATATACATCTAATGCAGTAATCACTGACATGAGCAATTACCCAACTTTGGCCTTCTTATAACCACAGCAGCCCCAGCAGAGCTACCTGCTCTTATGGCACAAGGTGGGGAGGTACAGGAATGGGCAAACTGAAGTTTTCCAGGGCTGCATGATATTTAACTGATAATTTAAATAATGCAGTTTTTGACAGCCTACGCTCAGATGAGATAAATATGATTGATCCAATACATTAAAAAACTTGGGAACACACTCAATGTAACTAAATTGGAAAAAAAATCCTGTGAATCAGTATGTTATTACACCACCTCATATTGCTGCTGCACTGGTAATAATTTTTATATTTAACCTGTGAGTTGAATCCTACAGAAGCATTGCCCCCGATCTGCAATAAGGATAAATGCAATATGTGCGAGTGAAAAGGAGAGCTATATGAAATTATAGCAAGGCATAATTTGTTTCTATGTCACAACTTGTGCGCTTATTTCTAGAACTGTGGGTTCGGTCCCAAACTTGTGTACACAGACCAGATCTTACAGAATACAAAACAAAAGGGTGTCAATTCCGTGTGTAACGGGCCAAAATAACACACCCTGAAAATCAACTGCTTGTGTGGGCAGTACATTCGAGATCTAAGCTGAAAAAAGAATTTGATATGAAAAGTAAAAATGTCAGTAACCTGCAGTACATACAAATTATATATGTACCCTTCATCTCTTGACAGTATACAGTGTAATAATTCACTTTTGTGCCTTGACTGGTTTGTTCGAATGACTGAAATTAAATGATATCCGAACATCCTGGGCTCTCCAGTTCACTATCCAGTGACAATTAAACTGACTAAATTTAAATTAACTTTATTTTCTTATGTTGTTTTAAAGGAGATCATTTGATCATGCACTGTCACAGATTATATTGTTATAAGGATTTTTGAATTCTGCAACACACCAGCTCTGTACAGTTGAATGACTTCGATGTTATAATTTTTGTCAGTTATTCGAAATACATTGCTCTAAACAGCAATACTTTTTGATTTGAGTTGGCTGCTAGTTGGTTGT